ATCTTGTCGCCGACACTCTTACACTACAATGTTGTATTACACACACTTGTATCTTGTCGCCGACACTCTTACACTACAATGTTGTCTTACATACACTTGTATCTTGTCGCCGACACTCTTACACTACACCCTTTCAGTAATTATAGGGTTAAAAAATTTTAAATATACCATGTAATTTAATTTTTAAGTTTTCAATAAGATGTAGTAAAGATGAATTTGTTAACAAGTATTATTTTGGTGATAAATAAGTCTACAAGAAAAACAAATCTGGTTATGGAAGCAATCTAAGTTATAGTGAAAAACTACAGATATCAAAGGCATTTCTTTCTTTCTTTACCTCATGGTTGGTACAAATTCTTGAATTTTTTTTCCCAGATTAAAAAAAAAGAAAATTAAAATAGAACAAGTTTCTAAACAATACAAATTTTGAGTCATCATCATAAACTAGACAGTTAACAAGTTTTTCATAATATTAGCAATTCCTCAGTAAGACCATAAATTATGATCAGAGTTATAGCTAACAGATTGATTAAGTTTTCTGATCCAAGTCAACAAGTTTAGTTGGTCCATATATCAAAGCAAATTTCATTTTTATATAAAAATGGGGAAAGGCTTAAACTAAAGTGTTTATGTGATAAGTTGAATGTGCACATCTTTTCTTAAAAAATAAACTGAATCTTTAACAGTATGAAGGTTTTTCTGTATTTTATCTAAAACAAAACACAAAGGCACATGACTACACATAAACTGAAAATACAGAAACAGAAAAAATACCAATGAAAAATATTAAGGTATTCCACACATTTCATATGAAGGAATATACATCCTTATCATTGAAAGAATATAAAAGTTTGGTAAAATCAACATAAAACGTACACAAAGCAAACCTCCAAGTCCAAGCCATTCAGAATTGGCTGGATCTTAAGTGGATATGATTAGTTAGTCACATAACATATCTAAAGAAAGCTTTCCCAAAATTCCATTAACTTACAAATGTAGGTTAACTGAGATCACCACATTGCTATCTGTAGAGAGAATTTCAGAGAATTTACAATGTTGCTTACTATTTGTTGTTCTGCACTGCTGCCACTTTTAAATAGTAGTTTAGTTTTGAAAAGTTCTTTTGCCTGGTAATAAAAGTGCACAAACTATGTGTATCCATTTCAAAGTCAGCTCTGAGAAAGCTAACGCAATCTGTGTTATTTGGCCAATTATTCCATGTCACTTCAAAGAACATTTCCAACATAAATCATAATTCTAAGTATATTGTAGAAATGTGGGTGAAAGAGCTTAACATTTTGTTTAAAGAGCATGTAAAATAGTTATGTTTATTTTTGTTTTATTTAAAAACAATTAATAATTTAACTAATCCACAGTCAGCTAACATTTATTTCAAGAAGGTAAAACATAAAAGCTCATTGCACTGTTCTATCAGGTTGGTTTTAAACTGATATTGTTCCCCCCAAAATAAAAAGGCCTACAACCTGTCTGATAACATTTATAAGACCTTAAAAATGTTGATAAATATCATGTTAAAAATTATAAAACTGAAAACAAAACCTAAAGTTACTTACAAATAGGAAATTAGCTAATCTTGGAAATTTGACAAATGTTTAGAAAGTGTGTGTGTGTGTGTGTGTGTGTGTGTGTTTAGATCATTTTAAAAACATCTGATTATGATAAAATTAAAAATATACTTAAAAAAAGAGCTTTGGGTTAATCTTTAATATTTTTTTCTATTAAAAATAACCTATGATCAAATCAAGCTACCTATTTGGATTAAAACAAAAAGATAACCCCCCCCAAAAAATAATGTAATTAACTCAATATGCCATTATAACAAGATGTATGCTTTGTTATAAAACCAAAATTCATAATAATTAGGATAAACTGACTCATCAGTTTCGTTCCTTCGTTGTTACCAATATTTTCGTTTGTAATCCTAATAACACCTCATGAGGGAGATCTAAATTAGTTCTAAATCCATATAATAAGCCAAAAATGCAAAATAATGCTCATAAAAAATACACATACACACACATATATATAATATTATATAAATATATTTATTAAACATGTTAACTAATACTGTTAATGAAACTAACATTAAAGGAAGAAAGGAATACAACATGCTTATAAGTAATGTAAAAACTAGCTATTTGTTTCATACACTCTTACTTATACCCTTAGATACAAGATATTTGTTCTAAAACAAGAAAAACAAAATTTTAATTCCTTTACACAAAACTATAGTCAAGGGGATGGAGGAGGTAAGACAGGACGATCACCCAAACATCTTAAAAGGTCATTTTTGTTTTTCTTAGATTTCCAAACTTTTGCAACTAAGAAGTGATAAACACGTGATTATACTCTTCCAGATAATATTTTTGCCATATAGTTGTTGGCTCTATTAGTTTTTTTAATTTTCATGTTGTCGAAAAAGAGTCCAACTCTGCTTTATAAAAACTCCCCACAGTAAGATCAGGGCTATTTTTGCTACTGTTTATAATGGTTATTGGTAAATTAAAATATAAAAGTATACACTATTAAGATTATATATTCATAGATGTTCTAAAAAGAGTTAAAAAACCACCAACATGAGAAAAAGTCTTCTACCTTAGCTTCCTGTTGCTGAGGTGGCAAATATCTTGCTGTAAGTGGGGTATTGGAAGCTGTAGAACTGAAGCTCATAATACTGGAAGTTTCCCGATTCAAATCAGGACCAAGAGAGCTACTTTCACCTACATTACTTGGCCCACTGTTCCACATCACTAGAAAGTAAGAAATCTATCTTAAAGTTTTATAGTTTAAGAATTAAAATACATTTCAAACAGGTACTTACTTCTGAAACATTAGAAGCCTTTGCTTGACGAGTTTTAACTCATGCTGTCAACAAAACATGGCTAAAACTAAAATTTTTATCTTAAATATGTTGCATATTATGAAGAACCATAAAATTCAATAAGAAATTCTTGTTAAAAAAAATTTGTTTTTTTTTAACAAAGAAGTTTTTATCTTATGTAAGCCTTATAAAAAAAATAAATAAATATGCAGAAATAACTTCAGTAATCACAATTTCCCATCATCACTATAGGTGTTACACATTTAATGTATTGGTTATATCAATAAATGTCAAAACAGGAAAAAAGTAAATACAAAAATGCCACTATTGGATTGTTCTTTCTATAAAACCAAGTATTTTTTCATCTTTTCTACATAATTAAAAAAAAGAAATGAATACGTAAGGTAAGTTCAGCCCTTACTACCTGCTTATTCAAAGTATTTTGCAATATTTTACAAGTTTTTATATTACAAAAGTCACTTTCAAACATTTTAACAAAACCAAAAGAGCTGCAAAATTTGTTTGCTATCTGTTACTTTACCAAAACATTAAAAGAAGGGAGGATAAAATCATATACATATAAAAGTCCTAATTTTTCCCTATTTTTGTGAAGTAAGTGCGAGGTACTGGCTATCTACTGACATAGGGTGTTTAGGCTTATTTGGGGCCATTTATTAGTTGAGATGATGCTAAGATATAAAGGTCAAATGAAGGTCATCCAAATACTATTTCCAAAATTATCATCCTAGGATAAAATGTGTCAATACAAGCGTTGTAGGGCACAATGATATTATCCCAGAAACATAATTTTCCTTGTGGGTTTCACATAAATTTGAATGATTTTTTTTAAATCAAAAATACTTCACTTTAACACAGGATGAGTTATAAGATTATGAAATGTATGCACACCAGAGACAGCATTTGGTAAGTGTTTTGTTATAGCAAAGCCACATCGGACTATCTGCTGTGTCCACCAAGAAGAATCGAACCCCTGATTTTAGCATTGTAAATCCAAAGACTTCCCACTGTCCCACCAGAGGATGACAGCATTTATGTGACCTTGATTTGACCTTTATATCATGTCAGATGACAAATGGCCCCCAATATGCCTAAACATTCTATATCAGCAGGTTTTTGATATTCAATACCTGCTTCACAACAATAGGGAATATCAGAATTTTTGACACACATCCTGTATATATTTCATCTACTGGAAGCTAAACTGAAATGTCTAATTGTACTGTAATCTCTAAAAATTCATCAATATCTTTTTCACTAAATAAATAAAAAAAAGACAGAACAAGATTAGAAAAACCTACAAACAGTTTAAGTTTTAAAAATCTTAAACACAGCCAAAAGTTAGTGGCTGAGCAAACCTCTATCAATAGGCCAGTCTCCTTGGTAAATGGAAGACGAATTGTTGCTCGAATCTTCCAATGACATTGATCCCGATTCATTTAAGTCCACGACAGTACCTTCTACAGAGTTATTACGTTCAGTGTGATATTTGGAGGTAAATCTACGTTTTATGCTTCTGTTATCTTCATACTGTTACAAATAAAATAAAAATATATATATAAATAAAGGGCTTCCATGTGTCTTTGTACTTTCATACAACTTAATATTTCACTTTTTTCTTTTTCTTTTTTTTACAACAGCGAGATGAACCACTTTTAACTTGATTGCCATGCTCTAAAATATTTTTGATCAAATCAACTTCAAATGCAAAATTTATCAATAGCTATTTACAATTAACAAATTAGTTAGGACTAAAAAACCTATTTGCTGTTATAAATTAATATTTTCATTGGTTTCAAAAACAGATAATGAAAGGCAACCTAGAGATCAACATGAAGTAAATAAACACTACAAGCTGATATTCTTTCTCCTAGTAATTTCCAAATAAATTTATAAGAATATTCAGAAACTTAAAACATTAACATAAGCCCATTGACTCTGAACTAGTATTATCAAGTTCCTTTTCTTATATCATACATTTTATTTATAAGCTATGTAAAGTGAATATTATTTCTTAAACTTCAACCATTAAAGGGTTCCATATGAACCCCAGGCTTCATTTAACATTACACTACTAATTAATTTAATCATACTAATATTCAGAAACTAGGTAATTATTTTTCATTGTTCTATTGTATCACTGATAAGCCAACAAACAATTTTGAAAATGACAATTAAAACCTAGGAAGAAGTATTACATATTATTGAAACAATTTCAGAGGTATTTTGTATGTCCGTTTTAAAACTGAGGATAATTGATTGTATAACATATATTTTCAAGATATATGAATTTTACCATACCCCCCCCCCTTTTTTTTTTGCATATGTATAGGATAATTGTAACTTTAATTACGAAGACATCATTTAATATTAAACTTCCAGTTAACATGTTCTGGAAGTTAGGTAATTAATTAATTATTCTTAATTTATCTTAGTAAAAACATAGTTATTAGTTTTGTTTACAACAGCTATTTGTAGTCTATCAAGAAAAAAAAAAGGTAACTTTGCAAAAACCACTTTGACCCAGTTAGGCTTCTTTAATTCCCAAAATATCTAAACAAAAACTAGATTCAGTTATGAAACAAAACTTTTAAAGAGCCATTTCAATTCCTAGCTTTTGTCAGTTATATATTAAAACACAAAACATGTAAAGGGAAGGCTGTAAGCAAACTTTTCTCCAGTTACCATTACTAGCTAGTTACTAAAGTTATTTTCTATTCCATCTTTGTCCCACTTTTTTTTTTTTTGGTTCATTATTTATACACTTAATAAGGAAGATACTTTCTGAAATTATACAATTCAAATATAAATGTAGCTATGAACCAGCTCAACTTCTTAAAATACAAAAGAAAAGAACATTTGGCCAATATAATTCTCATTAGAACTAGAGCTCGGTATAATTCTTTACCTACAAGCATTGGTTAGTATAGCATAAAATAATTGATTAATCAAAACTATGATTAAACTGACTAATCTCACGAAAATAATCAAATAACTGAAATTAGTGTCTCCGATCATGACTGTTTCAACTATCCAAGTAATCAAAATATTGCCATTATGATTTCTTCTTCTTATTATTATTATTATTATATTCAAATAATTCCAGATTATTCACAGCTTAATCTATTAATTTCATGACTCAAAAATAATCAATTAATCAACATTAACATTTCCAGTTATTATTAGTATTGATTATTCCAACTATCCAAGTCTCATGTGAGAATAATCAAATAATTGAACTGATTAATTAGCATGGCAATTAATCAATTCCATTAATCACCCATTGGTCGCAAAATTTCTTTTCTTCAGTAGTTTTGAGTTGATTGGCTACAAATAATAGCTGGTGTAAACAAAACTGAACCATATTTTTTACTGTGGTTATCATTAAGGAGACATACTCTGAAATATTTCCAACCTAAGCAGTGACAGAAATACCTTTATTTTGAAGCATGATTTGATCTATTTAAAAGACCATATTAAGTTTATAGATTTTATACATTTTTACGCTTACACTTTTCTCTGAAATATATGCAATAATAACAACATAAAAAGCTTCATATTAAAAAATATATATATATTTTTTTAAATTAGCACTAGCTGATGAGAAAATTAAATAAAATATCCTACCTGCTGCCCTTGAGCAGGCGTGGTGCATGGTTGTTCATTATTAGTTACAAAAGTATTGTCATTGCAATCTTCTGGAACCTTCTCAAGAAAGAATTAATTTTGCATTAAGCATTTTGAGAAAAATATGTTGTAAAAATTTGACATTCCCAATTTATTCTCACTTCCAGAAGAAGAAGAAAAAAACACCATAGATATTATTTGAAGAGAGAAAAAATAAGGCTAATTATGACATTTTGGGAGTGTTGAAATATCACTGAATAAAAAAAACAAAGTGCCATTCTATATATATTTTGACATTAGTTTTAGAAAGGACAAGCTAAACAAATTAATAAGTTCAAGAAATAGACTAATTCACTACAAAGGTAAAAACCCTTTCATACATACATTCTTTATGGAAATAAATGGGTTTAAATACATTAACTGTAAAAATGGAAAAATAAGAATTATGACCAAATATACCACTAGATTCATCTTTTAAACAAAATAAAAATAATTTTTTTACAAAATTATGATAAGAAGCAAATATTTCATAGATTAATTTATGCAAATCCTGCCTAAAATAATTTTAATTTGAGGATAGAGTGGTAAAAGATCCTGATGAGTAATAAAATTGAATTGTGTATATGTGCTCCTCACAGTTGGGTTTGTTGGTGCACAAAAATATAGCTAATAAAAAGGAAATAAAAGGTCTCATAGATTCATTTACTCTAATCGTGCCTATCAACATCTTAGTAATATACATACTTTAGATATGAGCTGTATACATACTTGGATTATGACTGTTGTCTGTGAAAGTGAAGGACCAGCTTGATGTATGTTATCGGCTTCAACTTCCCGACGTCTGACCATTTTGTTAATCGGAAAACCTTGTGAAGACCAAACTGTGAGATTCTATATAGGAAATGTTGCATTTGAATACAGAAAAGGGAATATTTTGAAGAAATATTTCAATAAGTTTAAAGTAAAACTCATAATGGAAATCAGCAAGAAGCCTAGACATTGCTATATCCATAACCAACAAATTAGAAAAAGCATCAAGGGGCAAGATACCAAAATGAACAAATATAACTTTCTTCCTAACTCAGCCAAAAGCATGATCACAGTTACAGATATATTTGCATAACAGAATGATTTCACTGTTCCCTTTATCACAAAATATTTTTTAAAACTTTTTGTAGAAAAGGTTTGACAAAGTTAACTATTCTAAGTGCAACTGAGTAATTAATCTGAACTTAGTTAAGCCTAACATTTACAAAAGGGACTTTTTTTTTTCTTTTCTAGAAATTATGTACAAAATTAATTATCCTTATTAATAACAGTTGTCTTTTGAAATCTAAAGGTTTTTGGTGATGTTAAATTTTCTAATATCTTACAAAGATAAGTGAATAATGTTCGATTGCAACCAGTGGCGTAGCAAGGGTTCTCAACACCCTAGGGCAAAGACACTTTTGGTGCCCCCACCTCTGAAATGTTTTGATTGTTTGTTTTGTGACTCATTACCCACTTAATGACAATAACAAAGAATTAATTACCGCCTTACACGGGCCTAAAATAAAGTCACAATATAACATCTCACGATATCACAACTGTAAACCTGAAACTAATTAAGTATTGTCTACTAGGTGTACTTACATAATTTGTAAACCATTTTGATATTTATGTCATCCAGTATTGTTCAAAGTCACATAGCTAAAGTAATCTTTCAAGCATGCAGAATAAATTTCTGTTATATCCCTAGTTTTGAAACTTATGTTTTATATGATAAGCCAGTCACTTGTGGTGTACATGGATTATAAAACAGATTGATAAAATTTGTACTTAAGTTTACATATAACAAATTTTATTAGTTTACAAAACTGTATATATACTTAACTAGATCTTGTACAAACA